TTGCTTATATTGAGAAGTATAATGTTCTTTGTCTGACTTGAGTTTTTCAATCAACATTTCTCTTTCTATTTTGGCAATTTCTAATTCAATTTTGGCTTTTTATCTTCAAATCATTGTAATGTTCATGGAATTTTTCTTTAGTGGTATTGAATCCCAGTCCTTGGTTAGATATATTTTCAAGGCTTTCATATACTTTATTTGCAGTTGTATGTGTTACAGGAACTTTTTTGTTTGGTAATATTTCATGCAATTTAGATGGCACAGCAGTTATTTTTTTATTTTTTGTTTGAAAATCGTTCTTTTTATTAGGTTGGTCAGTATTGTCATGAATACTTATGTCCATTGCAGATTCTTTAGCACAAGAGTCATTGCTATTTAATAACCATTCTATGTTATCTTTCATAAGTACATTTCTACATGGTGTTGAGATAGAAACGGCTTGTGCATCAGCCATCTCATCAAGCCCCACTGTATAATCTAGGAAGGCAAATTAATAATTAAAACAAACTAGATAACATTTTTATTTTTAAGCAATAAAATAACTTACATATGGGACTACCACTTCCACAGCTTTGCTTTTTGGCGATGCCAGGTAATTCCTCATAACTTGTTTGTAGTATACCTGGAAAATCTCCATCACAATCATAGGGACATTCCAAAGATTCTAATCGATTCCCCATCATACCCATAACCTTACTACTTATTGAAGACGACTGATGCTCGGATTTTCCACCTCCTGTCTTGTAGATCTGACTCTAAAGTTAGAAAAATTTAATGATTAATTTAACAATTAGTTGACCAGATTTTTATGGGAGAAAAATCCCCCAAGTGACTAGTATATACAAATACCTTTTCTTTATTTATATCCAGACTTGCTGATTTCTGTAACCTCTTATTACACTTCTTCAGTTCCTCAATAGTTTTTTACCACTTGTTTGAAGTTGATTGTATGATTCAGCAATTGTTTTCCATACTTCATCTTGATTATCAATACTTGAATCCTGTAATTAACAATTTAGGTTATTACAGCATTATATATAGTTTTGGAGTTATATTTTAGAAACATACTATGGAAGGTTTATTGGTTAAAATAAGGTCAACTAAAACTTCATTTTCCCTCTCTGTTGTAGTACTATATGGTTGGTATATATAAGTATTTACCTAAAATTAAAATACAATATATTTATAAAAAATTATCCTAAAGACAGATTAGAAACTGGTTATCATTAAAAAATAATTATAATTCTTCTTACTCTGTCACTGCTTTTATCTTTCCTTGTTTTTCGTTTCATAGTGTCAAACATTGCTTTAAGTTGT